TTCCTAAGAAACCCAATGGTTTTTGAAGATTTCGGCGTGCGCGCGCGAAGAAAAAACGAATGTGTCCCGCATGGTATTATTTGACAGGGATGATGGCCCTGGCAGGTGCGCAACCGTTGTTGGAGAAGTTCGAAGCACGTGAAAAAGTTGCTCGCAAAAGCCCGTTTGACAGAAATGTTTAAAAAGTGTTGGGTTTCCTACAAATCCGCAAGAGCGCGCGGGATGAAATGTTTGACATTTTTTTTTGAAAAACCATTGGTTTTTTGATGTTTTTATGTTAAAATCGCTACGAACACTAAGGTTTTGGAAGGATTTCGTCTTGCGCGCGCGAATGTGCACTTCGTGTCATTTTTTGCAAGGATTCTTGAAGTTTGGTTATGTTAGAACAAGACATGTCATTTTATATTGTTTTTTGACAGGGAAAGCGGGCGTCAACAAAACAACCGGATCCGGACTCCCCCGTTTTGCCTGAGACTTCCTCACGAAAATGATGAAAATGTGGCTGCGGCCTAGGCGCGGCGAGGGGGGCGTGCACCAGGGGGCCCAACAATAATTATTCTTTAGAAGTAATAATATTCAACAACAACAACAACAACAACAACAACAACAACAATCATTTTACCCGAACGCGTGGTGTTCTCCCCAGTGCCAGGGTTTTCATACGACACCAGGCAATACCCCCACTTCGTGGGGGGGCATTACAAGCTCTACCAAATATCCAAACGACTCTTCGCGACCACCCAAACCCAGCTTCCCGCCCTATGACGTTGGGACACTTCACTTCGTGGCGTGCGGACGACCGTGGCTACTACACTGGCGTGGGGTACACACCCACAGAACTTGGTCACTTATTCGGGGCGCGCATGTGCCCAGCATGGTGCAATTGTGCCATACAATACATAATACAGAGAGACGAATGTGTCCCGCATGGTATTATTTGACAGGGATGATGGCCCTGGCAGGTGCGCAACCGTTGTCGCAGAAGTTCGAAAAAGTTGCTCGCAAAAGCCCGTTTGACAGAAATGTTTAAAAAGTGTTGGGTTTCCTACGAATCCGCAAGAGCGCGCGGGATGAGATTTTGACATTTTTTTGTTGAAAAACCATTGGTTTTTTGATGTTTTTATGTTAAAATCGCTCCGAACACTAAGCTTTTGGAAGGATTTCGTCTTGCGCGCGCGAATGTCCACTTTACCTTATTTTTTGCAAGGGATTCTTGAAATTTGATTATATTAGAACAAGAAATGTCATTTTATAGTGTTTTTTGCAAGGGAAAACGGATTACAACAAAACAACCGGATCTTGATCACCTCGAATTACCTGAGGCTTCCTCACGAAAATGATGAAAATGTGGCTGCGGCCTAGGCGCGGCGGGGGGGGCGCGCACCAGGGGGCCCAACAATAATTATTCTTTAGAATTAATAATGTTCAATCACTTTACCCGAACGCTCAGTGTTCTCACCAGTGCCAGGGTTTTCATGCGACGCCAGCCAATACCCCCACTTTGTGGGGGGGCAGTGCAAGCTCTACCAAATATCCACACGACTCTTCGCCACCACCCACACCCAGCTTCCCGCCCTATGACGTTCGGACACTTCACTTCGTGGCCTGCGGACGACCGTGGCTACTACACTGGCGTGGAGTACACACCCACAGAAGTTGTTAAGCCTACGTTCGTACACCCACAGAAGTTGTTAAGCCTTGTTAACCCACAGAAGTTGTTAAGCCTTCCACAGAACATCTGTTGCATATGATGCATATGGTACATGATACACATGATACACATGATACGTACTCACAAGATAGTTGATCACATCTTTAGGGCAATTCCTGAGGGATGTGGGAATACACAAGAGAGAGAGGATATGGTTGTCCCGATGGTTGTCTCGATGGTTGTCCCGATGGTTGTCCTGATGTGTCCCGCATGGTATTATTTGACAGGGATGATGGCCCTGGCAGGTGCGCAACCGTTGTCGCAGAAGTTCGAAAAAGTTGCTCGCAAAAGCCCGTTTGACAGAAATGTTTAAAAAGTGTTGGGTTTCCTACGAATCCGCAAGAGCGCGCGGGATGAGATTTTGACATTTTTTTGTTGAAAAACCATTGGTTTTTTGATGTTTTTATGTTAAAATCGCTCCGAACACTAAGCTTTTGGAAGGATTTCGTCTTGCGCGCGCGAATGTCCACTTTACCTTATTTTTTGCAAGGGATTCTTGAAATTTGATTATATTAGAACAAGAAATGTCATTTTATAGTGTTTTTTGCAAGGGAAAGCGGGGGGGAACAAAACAACCGGATCTTGATCACATCGAATTACCTGAGGCTTCCTCACGAAAATGATGAAAATGTAGCTGCGGCCTAGGCGGCGCAGGGGGGCCGTGCACCAGGGGTCCCAACAATAATTATTCTTTAGAATTAATAATGTTCAACAACAACAACAACAACAATAACAACAACAACAACGATCAATTTTTATGTGTTCGCTCTTATCTGCTCGAGTGTCCAATGACGCGTATTTCCCAAACCCCCGATACCCGCCCTCTTCGTCTTCGCTCGAACCCGTTTTGGGGGGTATACCCTTCTTCCATGCAGGCTGGGCCCCGGCAAGCGGCGGGGCGGCCGCGGACCGTCGGCTTGGCCGGCGGCAGCGCTGATCGGCGGGGCGGCCGCGGACCGTCGACCCGACCCCAAGAGGGACGGACAGGGGACCGACGAAGACGACGACGAAGACGACGACGACGGCGACGGCGACGGCGACGGCGAGCGAAAGCGAGAGCGAGAGAGAACGACAGCAGCCACGAAGGACACGAAGTAGGCCACGAAGGGCGACAGCGGGGACACGAAGGGAATGCGTATGGGACCACGAAGAGCGCGAACGAGCGGGGGCCACGAAGGGCAGATAATGCGGGGCCACAGAAAGGAACGACGGGGCCACTGAGGGTAGCAACTGGGCCACGCAGGGCAGCGAGAGGGCCACGAAGGGCGACAGCGGGGCCACGAAGGGCATGCACATGGGGCCACAACGGGCGCGACTCCTGGGTGCCTGGGTGTCGGGAGCGCGGCGCTTGAGCAAATTGCAAGAAAATCCAACGCAAGGGCGCTATTCTTTAGCAAATTGCAAACAAGTCTCCAGCGAGAGCGCGATTCCTAAATCAAATGCGAGGAAATCTCGGGCGGGAGCGGGGGTCCTGGCTGAATTGTAAGGAAGTCTCAGGCGGGAGCCGTTGTTGTTGTAACCTGGGGGCCAGGGGCACAGTTTGAGCATCAAGACTTTCCCCGACAAAAAACACGGTACGAGCGTCGAGGTAGGGGGATCAACAACAATTATTCTTCAGAAATGAGTTCAGCAACAGCAACAACAACAACAACAACAACGACAACGACAACGACAACGACAACGACAACGACAACGACAACGACAACGACAACAACAACAACAACAACAAAACAACAACAACAACAACAACAACAACAACAACAACAACAACAACAACAACAACAAAAACAACAACAGCAACAACAACAACAACAACAACAACAACAACAACAACAACAACAACAACAACAACAACAACCACAACAACAACAACAACAACAACAGCAACAAAAGCAGCAGCAGCAGCAACAACAACAACAAACGCAGCAGCAGCAATAACACCAACAACACAAACAACAACAGCAGCAACAACAACCATACAACAACGACGACGACGATAACAACAACTACAACAGCAGCAACAACAACAACAATTAGACTGTTCGCTCTCATCTGCCCGCGTGTCATTCATCACGTCTATCCCAAACCCTCGATACCCAGCCCCTGCGTTTACGATCGTATCCCCTTGGGGATATACCTCTTTTACCTGCAACGTGTATTTCGTGCAGCACCGAATGCAGGGGAAGAGAGGACGGATGGAAGGAAGGGACAAGGGCGAGAGAAGAGGATGGAGCACGAGAGAGAAGGGCAGGAGAGAGGCTAGGAGCAGAAAGCAGGTGGCAGAACCAGACGGGCTGATCGGGCGGGTAGACCTTAACAGAGGGCCCAGGAGGCCTCGGGGCTGGCCCGAGGGGCGGGGGGGCAGGACGGCCACTGCTTGCGCCCGCCAGGGAGGGGGGGCGGGGCCAGGAGAGGGGAAGGACGAGCACTTCCCGCGCCTTCCTGGTCCGCCAGAGCTCGCCAGCCCCGCCGTTCCCATGGCGAAGGAGGAAACCCGCAAGACCACGGCAGTGGGAGTGAGGCGCGTCCGCTTCGAGGAGGAGGACGCCAAAGCCGCCCAGAACACAGCCCCGCGGCCGCGCCCCCGCTGCAGGAGGCAGCCCCATCGCCACGCCCACAGACGGGAGCCGCAGCCCCCCCCCCCGAGGGCGCCAGCCGCGGGCGCGCCGGCGCCCCCGCTGGGGACCGGGGCGGTGCCGCTTAAACAACTGCCTGACTGGTGCGCCTGGCAGTCGCTGCTCACTTTCGCTTGAAGAAGAAGCCATCGAAGATGCAACATGTAGGGAAGAAGAGCTGGAGAATGTGAAGAGTAAGGGGCCACCGGGGTGGACATGTTTATGCAAAGTCTCCGCTTGAGCCTTGAGCTTGAGCCAACATGGCTACGTATAGGGATAGGGGAACATAGGATAACGATGAGGGTGGGATAGGACACAAGGATGGGATAGGAAATATAGGGATGGGAATCACATGGATAGGTATAGGGATAGGACATAATCAGAGGGATTGGTAAGAATCGAAATAAAGATCGGATACAGATAAGGAAAGACAGTGCGAAACAACGGAGACAATGTGAGATGATGAGAGACAATGGAAGACAACGGGAGACGATAGGGGATACGGATAGGGATAGGGACACGGATAAGGATGGACAGTTGCATGCCACGGGAGACAGCGGGAGGCAACCAAAAACAACGGGAGACAACAACGCCCGACCGATTCCGAATCCGGCAAGTCACCCACTAGTCACGTGAGCGAACTGAAGTGGAGCCCTTGCAGACAAGCTGTCTGGGGAACCAGGCGGATCCAAAATGCACCAGGGCCGCCAGGGGACACAAGAATCTTAGATATCTTAGACATCTGTGATATCTTAGATATCTGAGGGGGCACGCAGTTGGATATCTTAGATGTCCAGCTCGTTGCCCAATCACGCAGTGCTCGCGCGAAGCGTGGTGGCTCTTTCGAACAGGCTGCCCGCGTGCCCCTCGGTCGTGGACGGGAGACCACGCCCAGTGTGCTTTCACCGGGACGGGCCTGGGGAACCACCGCCCCCTCGTCTTGTGGAGGGGACGGCCCCGCCTGAGAATCGTTGAACCGATCCCCGTCCCCAGCGGCGTGGCCTGGGCCCCGCTGGCCGATTTACCCCCCTGGATGGGGATATGGGCCGTTCCCTTCGAGTTTCGAGGGGTGTATCCCCAACTGGGGGGGGAATTCGGCGGGGGTCCCGAAGGGGATGGGGATGGGGCTGGGGATCGGTGAAACGATACTGACCACCAGCCTGGGCGCCCCACGGCTTTGCGCAGGGCGCGTGCGGACATCCAGGCGCGCAGCGCGGCCGCGAAGCTGGAGCCACGGGCCGCGCGGTGCCGTCATGGCACAGGCGCGAGCCTCTCACCTGCGCGACTTGGCGACGCGGGGGCCCTCCGTGCATCCCGCAGCAGTCGCCCAGGCAGCAGCGGCCTCACAAGAGCGCGGCCACGGACACCAAGGCCGCGGTGGCAGCGAGTTGCCTCACGGCAGCCCCCTCCACCGCCCCGGAGTTCACCACCTCCGCGGGGGCCTCCGTGGTCGAAGTCTCTGTCGTGGTGTGCGGGGTAGTGGAAGTCAGCGTCTCGGTGGTGGTCTTCGTGGTCCTGGTGAAGCTCGTCGCGGTGGTTGTCGCAGTCGTACTGGACGACTCCGTCGTGGTGTGCGGCGTCGTGGAGGAAGTCCCAGTGGTCGAGGTCCCCGTCTCCGTGGTGGTTGGCGGGGGCACTTCCAGAATGCTGCAGCGCACGCCCTCGTCGCCGCCCAGGCCAGCGTAGCATGCGAGGCCGTTCATGTTCAGGGGAGAGGCATACGCCGAGACCGACATGAACAAGCCGCACTCCTCCTCCCAGCCCTTGGCGCAGTCCTCCACGCCCACGAAGGCTCCGCTGTCTATGTCGATGTCGTCGCCCATGGCGAGCTCGGTGCCGTGGCTCATCACGAGGCCACTGCACTTGCCAGTCTGGCTGGACCCTGCCATGAAGCACACCATGGCGGCTGTCGGGGACAGTGGTGCGAGCGTCAGGTTGGAGGTGGTGTCCACGCTCACCTGGAGCACCTCCCCGAGTGCAATGGCCCCGCTGTCGAAGCTGAGGGGCCTACACTTGCCATAATCGTCTCCGCCGTCGGTGAAGCACAGCACACCGTAATCATCTGTGAGGCGTGCCACCGCCAGATCGTAGGTAGCATCCAGGTTCACCGTGGCGTACCCGCCGTTGTAAGACAGCGCGGTGCCGTTGAAAAAGATCGGGCTGCACCAAGCGACGTCGCCGTCGGGGAAATCCTCCTCCAGCTCGTCGATCCGGGAGTCTTCCAGCGCGTAGCAGACCACGGCGGAGGTGTCCGAAAACGTTGTTACGATCACCTGCTGCACGTGGTGCACATAGTCATCGACGCCGATCTCCTGTCCCCTGGTCAGGTCGAGGGAGGTCGGGTCGAGGGCGAAAGGAACGCACAACACCTTCAGGTTGGGTTCACTGTCTGTGTCTGCGTAGCAAACGACGCCAGATGTCTGGGAGAAGCTCGCGACGTCGAGCTGATGCAAGTAGATGGTGTCGCTGTCGATGATCATGTCGTCTCCGACCGTCAACGACCAATCGCTCTCCACCTGCAGCACCCTGCAGACGCCCATGCCGTCACTGCCCAGGCGCACGTAGCAGACCACCGCCTGCGTCTCCGAGAAACGGGCCAGCGTGAAGTGCCGCAGCTTGACACCGGCCAGCTGCTCGTCAGGACCATCGACGGGCGCCGACGCCACGGAGAGATCCAAAGCGTTGCACCAGCCGTCCTTGTCGCCGGCCCAGTCGGCGTAGCAGACGATCCCGGCCGTCTCAGAGAGGACCACGGTGGCGACGTCCGAGGAGCCGCCGCTGTTCACGGTCACCTCGGGGTACTCGGTCACGACATAGTCGATGCCGTCTCCACGGGCCTGCACCGCCAGGAGTGCAGTCAGCGCGAGTGCGGAGGCGGCGGTCGGCATCTGCGCTCACAGTTCGCGGGCGGTCGAGAGCGGAAGCGACTGGCGGGACGGGCCTCAACCACGAAGGAGCCTGAACCAAGCAAGCCCGAGCAGCACCACTGATGCTGCAGCGCAGCCTCCCATGCCAAGCCTCCCTCCTCTGAAATCAGCACAGGCGCGTATACGATAACGCAAGAAGACCGAGGATCACAACACTGTAGAAGTCTCAGAGGCACGCTCTCCACTGGCGTTTTCATAAAAACTCAACACCCATAAGCCGGCCCTCTATGGGGGAGAACCAGCAGCCAAGCGTGGGTTTTCCTGCCCCCTCCGCCCCTTCCAGTGTGAAGAATTCCAATGCTAGACGTCTACATGATCTAGTTCCATTGTTGGAGTGATTGAAACACGCGCTACGACCCAGCCTCGAAAAGCCCCTGGTTACCCTCTCAGAACCACGTCCTCAAAATTTATGGCGCGACCCTAAGTAGGAGAGAGCGTCCTACTGCACGGACGCATTTGCTTGGCAGATTGCTTGCAGATTGCTTGGCAGATTGCTAGGCACGTTGCTTGGCAGATTGCTTGCCATATTGCTTGGCTTATTGCTTTGCATGTTGCTTGGCAATTTGCTTGGCATTCCTGGCAGATTGCTTGGCATTGCTTGGCATTGCTTGGTATTGCTTGGCATTGCTTGGCACTGCTTGGCAGTGCTTGGCATTGCGTGGCATTGCGTGGCATCTCTTGGCATCGTGTGGCATTGCGTGGGATTGCTCGACATTGCATGGCATAGCATTGCATGGCATTGCCTGGCGAGGAAGGAGGGATTGAAGACCAAGAAACCAAGGAACCCGGTCCAAGGAACGAAGGAAAGAAGGAATCAAGGAACCAAGACCAAGGAACCAAGACCAAGGAACCGAGGAACCAAGAAACCAAGGAACCAAAAAACCAAGAAGCCAACGAATCAAGGAGCCCAGACCGAGAAAGGGAAGAAGCAAGACCAAGGAACCGAAGAACCGAGAAACCAAGGAACCAAGAGACCAGGACCGAGGAACCGAGGAACCGAGACCCAGGAACCAAGGAACTCCACGGAACCAAGACCAGGGAACCAAGGAAACAAGACCAGGGAACCAAGACCAAGGAGCCAGGTGAGCAAGACCGAGAAACCAGGGAACCAAGACCAAGGAACCAAGACCAAGAACCGCAGGGAACACCCACTGTAAGGAAACAGCATCGAGGAAACACAGGGAACCCAGCGACGATCGCGCCTCGCACACACTGGTTGTGCAAAAACACATAGGAAACCCTGAGGCGAAGCCTAATTGGGGAACGCTACGAATTCGCACCCCCTCATAAACAACAAACCGCTCGCACTCTCGAGGCCACATTCCGTCATGAACTATTACGGGCTCGCGCCCCCGATGCCACAGTCCCACGTAAATACGAACCCGGCGCGACCCCAATGAGGGGAAAGCTTTCTACTGCATGGGCGCAGTGCATGGCATTGCTTGGCATTGCTTGGCATGTTGCTTGGCATTTTGCTTGGCACTGCTTAGCATTGCTTGGCATTGCTTGGCATTGCTTGGCATTGCTTGGCATTGATTGGCACTGCTCGGCATTGCTTGGAACCCAAGGAACCCGAGGAACCCGAGGAAACCGAGAAATCCCCGAACGGACAACGTGCCCCCCTGAGGCACTATTCTTCTCAATCAAGTAAGACCCCCTTGGAAGCCTAATTGAAGGAAAAAGCGGTTGGCGCTCCCAGCCCACACCTGTCGAAAATGAAAACTCGATCGCCCTCCTGAAGCCACAGTCCATCGTAAAATACATCACGCTCCCGCTCCCGAAGCCGGTGTCTCGTGCATTACCGCGCGCTCGCGCTCCCGAAGCCTCATTCCCGCGCACATTACAACCGGCTTGCGTACCTGGTATCATAACTCTGCCGCAGATCGAGCCGCGCTCGCGCCCCGAGAAACTGCAAACCACTGTAAATTTACACCCCATGTCGCGCTCTGGAGGCCACAATATGTCGTACACTATCGCGCGCTCGTGCTCCTGAAGCGACGTCCCCACGTAAATTACAACCGATGCGGATGGCCGATGCCATAGTCTTTCGTAAATCAACACGTGCTCGCGCTCACGCTCGAAAAAAAAAATCGTGCGCTCGCGCTCCCGAGGCCACAGTATCTTGCAAAGTACCGCACGCTCGCGCTCCAGAAGCCACATTACATTGACAACTACAACACGTTCGCGCTCCCGAGACAACAGTTCTTTGTAAATGACAACGACATCACGCTCCAGAAGCAACATCCCTTGCCAATTACGGCGCGCTCGCGTTCCCGAAGCCGCAACCCCTTGTAAACTACTACGCTGCCACGTTCCAGAGGCCACAATCCGTTGCAAACTACGTAGCGCTCGCGCTCCCGAGATCGTAATACCCTGCAGGCTACGACGCAGGCGCGGTCCCGATGCCACAATCCCAAATGAACAACGACACGCTGCGCTCCTGAGGCTACCCTCTCTTGTAAATCACAACAGACTCGCGCTCCCGAGGCCACAAGCCATTATCCGCCACCGTGCCTCGAGACACGAAATGGATGGAGTGTTCCACCAGCTTCTAGAATCCCACCAGCCCTCTGGGCGTAGGTGGTCTAGAGCAGATCCTCTTCCACCCCTCCCTCTTCCCCCTTGGGGAGGGGTTTACCCCTCCCCCTACCCCCTCCCCTGGACCTGGACGGGGGGGGCCGCGGGTAGTTAGAGCGTCCCAGATGGCCCAAGACGGCTCCAAGAGCGCCTCAGAGAACCCAAGATGAGCTCCAAGATGGCTCAAGATAGCGCAAGATCGCTCGAGATGGCTCCTAAGATGGTTCCAAGAAGCCCAAAGACGGCCCCAAGATAACTCCAAGTGGCCAAACAGCTCCCCAAGGAGGCCCCGAAGAGGCCAAAATCGTCCCAAAACCTAAGGAAAATCAATGATTTTTGCTTTCTCGCCTTTTCGCTTCCGATGGCCATCCGAGGCCTGGAGATGGTTCCAAGATGGCCCAAGAGGGCCCCAAGAGAGCCCCAAAAGAGCCCCAAGACGGCCCCAAGAGCGCCCAAGAGCACTCCAAGAGCGTTCCAAGAGGGGTCCAAGAGGCGATTTTAGGGGCTTCCGAGGGGGGACGCTAATTAAACCCCCCCTCTTGTTTGATCGATCTCCTCCAAGATGGCCCCAAGAAGCGCCCAGGAAGCCCCAAGAGGTCCCAAGATGGCCCCAAAATGGCCCCAAGAGGCCCCCAAGAGGCCCCCCGGAGGCCCCCAAGAGACCCCCAAGAGGCCCCAAGAGCCCCCCCAGATGCACCCAAGATGCTCCAAGAGGCCTCGGCGAGAATGCCTAATCATTGATTCTACACAGGTTTTAGCCACATGGAGGCCTCTTGGGGGGGGGCACGGATTAAGATGACTCCAAGAGCGTCTGGGAGAGCCCAAAATGACCTCCAAGATGGCTCAAGATATCCCAAGATGTCTCATAATGGCTTCCTCTGTGTGCTGCCCACTTCTCTGATCGAGGCAATTCCTCTGGGCATCGTTTCTGGATGGGCTGGTGGGGATTCGCGAAGCGACAACAATTCTCTGTACCCTGCATTCTGTTTTGAAATAATCAGTCCCGCGCGCTCCCGGGCGCTGCCGAGATTCCCCGCGTGACGTTTCCACCGCGACGCTTCCAGAGGCCTGAAAGCCCCGACCAAAAAGGCTCCAAAAAGTACCCAAGATGGCTCAAAAGGCATCCAAGACAGCCCGAGAGCGCCCCCAGACGCCCAAGATGGCTCCAACACGGCCCAAGAGGCCCCCACGAAGCCACAAGAAGCTTCCAAGACGCCCGAAAAGGCCCCCCAAGAGCACTTTCAGCAGGGCCCCAAGAGGCAAACATCATGGATTTGCAGTGGTTGTTCGTCCGTATTTGGGCGTTTCCACCCATTCGGTTTCCCGACGCTCCACGATGGCCCAAAAAGCCCTCAAAATCGCCCTAAACGGCGCCCAAGAGGAATCGCATACGGATCATGGCCACGTTCGAATTCAACTACATGTGTTTAGCTGAGATCATGATCGGGTGATCGGACCGATCGCAACCGCTAAGTCTGATTCCCACTGGGCAGTCTAAGGGAGCTTCTTGCACCCACAAGCACTCGTATGCTCCCTGCCTTAATCAAAACCTGCTTATTGAAACGACCCACAAAGATCGCAACCATGTCGGATCGATAAAAACTGGTTGCAATCGGTCCGAAGTGGTCGACGATCGGTTCGAAGTGGTTGCGATCGGCCGTGCCCCGGCAAGCACCCCACCCATTCCAGCACGCGCACCCATGTCGTCGGCGGCCCCAACGGAAGTCCTACCGCGCGGTCGTCGAAGCAATTTGGCACACCCCTCGCGGGGAACGCGGCCAACGCGCTGAGGGGGGGGGCGCCTTTGCGCGCGCGGCGCAGCCCTTCTTTCGCCACGCGCAGGAACCCGTCTCTCCCGCGCTGGGCGGCGAATGAAAAGAGGGCCACGCCCGGCGCGGAATGTAGCTGCATGGGACCGCGCGCCTAGCCCAGCCAATTGTCAGCATTAGCACGGATAGTATTTCCACGTTTTGAAAATATGTGTGTTATTCGAACGCTCAGACTGTTGCGGGACAATCAAAAATACGCAGTGCGCGGAACTCCCCATACGTGGATGTATGTTTAAAAAGGACTGTTTTGTTTGAGATATGTATATGAACGTCTAGCCAAATGAGCTTTACGCGCATCTCATGTTGTAGGATGGTGCCGTGGCGAGCATATGTCTATGATAGCACTGATCGAAGAAGGCGTCCATGTGAGCGACGAACACACGCGCGCGCAACTCGGCTGTACATTCAAATCATGTACACATTTATTCACACGCATATGGTAGCGCATTTGCTGCCAAGGCAAAGAATTTCATTGGCACCGGGTCCAAAGCACCAAGGAGGAGTATGAAAAACAAGTGTTTCAAACGGTACTTCGCGATGAGCTCCTCTCTCGAGCGCGAAAGATACCCGTACCCTTACCTAGACAGGGTGGCAAGGGGCCGGGGGGGCGGTTCGTCGCAGCTGACG